TTGGGCGGGAGGCTCTGGGGGCGAGAGCGGCCGACTTGGCCCCCGCCGGCCCCGAAACCACAATTGGCTGAACTTTGTCCATGTCCGAGCTCTGATTGGGTAACGGCAGCCTGGACCCCGCCTCCGGGCCCAAGTTCCGTTAGCAGGTTCGGTTGCTTCCGAATTCACTTTCGCCAAGGGGGCGTGGCCTACGGAAAAGACCCTTTGGCTAGCCCCTCCTCCTACACGCAGCAGCCACTGATCCGCCCGGCGAGTGGAGAGGGAACTGGCGGTTCGTTCCGCTTTGGGGAGCTGTATTTTCTTCTGATTGGCTGATGAGCGGCCGACGCTCCCCGCCCCTCCAGTCGTTTGTTTTTCGTCGCGAGACGCAGCGTGATGACGTATTCCCCGACATTCCACTTCCAAGATGGCCGCAGTCAGCAAGGAGAGACGTCGCTAAGGGGCTTGCCTGAGGCGAGGGGTGAGTGACCCGTGGCCCGCGGGCCGCGCCGCCCTCTTTCCGCGTACTTGGAATTCGGAGTAGGGTACTGCCAACTGCCGCCGTCCGCTGGGGGACTCTTGCCTCCGAGATTTCGCCCCTTCTGCTAGCCCCCATGCACGTTGAAGTTAGCTGGTGACGAGGGGCTGGGGAGTGGTTTTCGGGAAAGGGTCTGAGGCGCAAGGGCGGCTCTGGGAGGTCTGGAGCACCCTAAAACTGGTAGCGGCGTTCGAGTTGTTGGGGCGCGATTGGGGTTGGAGGATCTTCTAGCGGCGGGAAGAGGGTGGGGGGTCTTACCCGGCCGCAGAGGACCCATTTCCCTGTTCCTTCGTGGCGGGTCGTGGTTGGGCAGGTGTGAGACCTCGGAGACCGTCCCACACCTGCACGGCTCGGACCTGGGAGTTCGCCGGGCCACCGGGCAAGGGTGGGACTAGGAGGCACTTCCGCGGTGAGCTCGTTCTTGCCCAGATGTCGTCCTCATTCACCCTCTCCTGGGCGGTTGGTTTGGTCGTTATTGTAAGACAAGGTATGCGTCTAAAAACTTTCTGAACCATTATCTGCATAGGGTATGCTCAGTGATTAGTCCTAAGTGTGAATTGCCAATTAAACGGAGTTTTCGCTAAGTAAGGTTAGGAACGTCTTGTAAAGAGCAGTCACTTAAAACTGGCCTTTTTTTTTTAAGGCAAAGTTAATAAGGTTTGTGTATCTCGTTATGTATCCTTTTTTACACATCTATAGCATAATGCCTTGCAGTCGTAAACACACATTAAAAGTGTCTGCGAATGATGTTACTAGAATGAAAGAGCAGAGCTTTCGATCCCCAGCACCCGGAACACTGACATTTAGTCAGCTATATTGCCAAATGAAAGAAAGAATGGATGATGTCGTTAATGGTACTGATAGATATTTTAGTTAAAATTGTTAGCGTTCCTAAGATGCTTATTTGTTAAATCATCTTGACCATAAATGTAATAATTATCCAGGACTCTTAGGGTTTTTTCCAGTGGCTACCATTGATGTCTAGTTTTAGGGGTTTTCTCTCCTTTTCTCTCGTTTTAATTATATTGTAATATATTATCCAAGCATATTAGTTGATTCCAGCAAAAATCATAGTGAACTAAATGTGTTCCATTTGAAAGTGTAATTTGCAACAACAAGCAATACAGAAACATTTTAATTGTTAATGAGGTTCTTACATTTTAAATGCCATTTCTAAAATTGAATATCATAAAGAAAAAATTGTTCATATTTTGGCTTATAAAATGTGCAAATTCATTTTAGGAATTTATTGCAAAACCGCTGAGTTCACTAAGACTATGAAAAGAAAAAATGTTTTCTGCTTTTTTTTTTTAATCTAAAATTGGGTTAAGGACAAAACAAGAGGAGTTAAATTTGAGGTAATTGAGAAGATTATAAAGAATATCTGTGGTGCAGTCAATTTGGAAAGCAATATGGAGATTCCTTGGAAAGCTGGGAATGGAACCACCATTTGACCTAGCTATTCCCCTTCTCGGACTATACCCAAAAGACCTAAAAAGAGCATACTACAGGGACACAGCCACATCAATGTTATAGCAGCACAATTCACAATAGCTAGAATGTGGAACCAACCTTGATGCCCTTCAATAGATGAATGGAATTTTTAAAATGTGGCATTTATACACAATGGAATATTACTCGGCACTAAAAAATAACAAGATCATGGCATTTGCAGGCAAATGGATGGCATTAGAGCAGATTATGCTAAGTGAAGTTAGCCAATCCCTAAAAAACAAATGCCGAGTATCTTCTCTGATATAAGGGGGGTGACTCAAAATGGGATAGGGAGGAAGAGCATGAGAAGAAGACTACCACTAAATAGGGAAGAGAGATGGGAGGGAAAAAGAGGGAGAAGGGGAGTTGAACAGAAGACAGAAGAAGAACCTCATTGTTATACAGAATACATATATGATGTTGTGACGAGAAAAAGGAAAAAAAAGTGTCACATTAGATTGGATAGAGAGAAAGGATGGGAGAGGAGGGGAGGAGTAGGGAGGATAGGAAGGGCAGCAGAATAGAATAGACAATATGATTGATGTATGTACATTCCATGTATGTATTATATGTCAAAATACATTCTGCTGTCATGCATGACTAAAAAAAATAAAAATAAATCGTATGGTAAAAAATAAAAATAGAAAAAGAATATCTAACTGGATTAAATCTAATTTGTATTTTTAAGATCAGTGTAATTGCATATAAGATTGTAAAATCATTGTTCATAACCTTTGAGGAATCCTTAATGATAGAAGACTGGAGTCTGGCCTGTCGCTGATTTCACAGAGAGCAATTAGCTGACTTTGGGTACAAGGACTTATTAATGATCGGTTTTATGAAATTGTTGGAAGGGCCAAAAAAGGGCTTGATAGTACTTGGGAAAGGAGAGCTGAGTCCTCCAAGCAAGCAAAGCTTCAATAAGGAAAAGCCATGTGACACAAATCATATTTCCTTTTGTTACAAGTTTATTAACTGTTGGTAAAGGGGAGATTGTTAGACATAAATCCATTTAGATTTCCTTAGAACACAAAACATAATCTTGCCTAGTAGACACAAGAAGTAAATGTACATTGGATAAAATATAGTTAGGTAATTTATATCAATTCAGATTACTAAACCTAAAATGTTGATTAGTGGGTTGTTAGTAGCCTAGAAGCGGGGGTCTTTAGAGGGAACCTATGGAGCTTTGATTTTGCCCTTTTGAATAAAGGGCACTTTTTAATTACTAGCTAAATATGTAAGATGCATAATTCTCAAGTTAATGAATGCACTCAAACCATTGAATGATAAGTAGGAAGCATGTTAGATGACACCCAGAGTTCTTAAAGACCAAAAGTGACAAAGTATGGGAAGTGACTACATTTGCAATAATTCAGCTATATTTCAGATGAGGAAGACCTGTCTTAATAAAAAAATGGTTCCAAGATGTAATGTTCCATTTATAGAAACAAAGTAGTGTCTAGATTGAGGAACAGTATCTTAGTCTGAAGTAAGACAGATTGTGCCTCTGCCATTTGCTAACTGTTGTTACCGCTGTTGGCCAGTGACCGGTGATGAGTCCTTGCTTCCCCAATGTTGAAGAATAACACCAGAAAAGCACGCCGAGGCAAGGTCAGAGTAGAAATTAGAAGTTTATTAAAGGGCAGCAGAAAAGACTTCTCCCGGAGGAAGAAGGGGGCCCAAGAGGTGGAATCCTTGGAAGTGCCGTTGTCTCCCCTTTTTATAGTTTTGGTGATGGAATGTAGGTGGGAAGGCCAGAGGGGTGGGACACAGGTGATCTGGGCAGGAAGGACTTCATTATTATTTCTTGGGATGGGCTATCTCCAAATCTGTTGGGGGCTGTTTCCTGGGTTCCATTAACATTTCTTTGGGGTGGACTTTGGCTTAGGGCCTTTCCGGGACTTCATTAACATTTCATGAGTTGTCCTGTGTTTCCCTGGAATCATTGTTAGCATGGCCTCCATTTTAGATCTTACTTGATACCTAACTTTAAATCTGGCTTCACTGTGACAGGTTGTTTCATGTCTCTTTGGCTCCATTGACTCCATTTTCTCAGTGATAAATTGTGAGAATAAGAAAACATAGTTTGCAGGCATGCTGTAATTCAATGGACATAGGATATGTTACTGAATTTACTAGCCTTCCTCCATATGTTCATATGCTGGGCAGATATATAACGTGTATTTTTTCTGTTTTGAAAATACTTAGGGGGAATTGGGCACATTGGCACACGCCTGTAATCCCAGTGGCTCAGGAGACTGAAACAGAAGGATTGGGAGTTCAAAGCCAGCCTCAGCAACTTAGCGAGGCCCTGAGCAATTTAGTGAGACCCTGTCTCTGAATAAAGTACAAAATAAGGTTGGGGATGTGGCTCAGTTGTCAAATACCCCTGAATTCAATCCCCAGCACCCCCCCAAAAAAAAAATTAGGAGGTACCTAAATTTTAACACTAAACTCTCAAAACCATCTTGAGAAAATCATTAGGTTTCTTCACCCTGAAGAAAAGAAGGGAATGTAAAATTATCTTTACATATTTGAAAGACAATCAGTAGAAAAGGAAAATGTGTTTTCAAGGCTTAGGAAGCTAAGTAGAGAGTTGTTAAAAAGATTTCAATCATTATTTTGTGCCATTTGTGTAACGGATCTAGGAGATGAACATAACACATAAAAATCAATGTAAGAATCTAAGAGTTATGTGAACACCAGTTATTGATATACAACAATGCCATAGGCTGCTTTCTAAACTAAGGTCTTATTAATAAAAATGTCTGAGTGAAGGTTAGTAATAATTTAGTACTGTTATTAAAAAATAATTTACATACCGGATCAGAGAGTTATGTGGTGTTCATTACTATTATGGTCATAATTCTAAATGTTGAAAATGCATTTCATCTTTCATCATGTAAAATGATAATATCTAAAACACATGATTGAAAGGTCTTGCTAAAACACCTTACAAGTTGCTTGAGAGATTTTCATTTTTGTGGATCTCATAAATCTCAGTGATTTTCACAGTAATCCCTACTAATAATAAAATTTATAACTTCAGAACCTTGTTAAAAAAAATTGAAGAGGTATAGAGAAAGGGGTTAGAGAACAGAGGCAAGCACTTTTTCAGGAAGGTAGAGGCTCTAGAGGACTGTTGCTGTTCTGTTTATGTACATTGATTGCATGTTTTTCTGATTTCATGTATTGTTCATTCTGCCCCGAGTCTAAAGGAAATCTATACTAGTTCTTTTAGCAGGGAGTTTAGCCAATGATAGCAAGTAAAATTGAATATATTTCAGTTACATCCACTTGTGAACTGAGATTCTTCCCATTCCTATGTCCTCCATAGTAGGTTATTCCTAACCCTTTTTCCCACTCTGCCCCTTTCCTCTCGGTAGATGTCAGACACTCTACTTCTTGGATAGAATGGAGGTCCTCTGAGGTCCTCTTTTAGGAGTTACTTCCTCCCCCTTAAAACATTTCTTTTTTTTTTTTTTTTTTGCTTTAGTTTAAATTTTATTATTGCTATTAGTAATAAGCCAATAGAAATAGGGTAGCAAAAAGAAAAGTTCAGGATCAATAACTTCTTCCTTATGAATTAAAACACATGCATATGCACATGTCCCCCCAGTGTGTGAGCAACTCCCTTCCCACATTCTGCCTCACGAAACCATTACGCAAAATAGTCCACGGAGCTACGGGAGCAGTTGATAGTGCAACCTGAGTAAAGGACGCCTATTGTGTGAAGTCTCAGGCAGATTCTTGACCTAGATGACCAGCTTTTCCACACTAAGGGTACTGGTGGTTTCATCCTCTTCGTTTGAGCCAAAATATCCGGGGAGGTCCAGCATCCTTTGCTCAGCCTCAGTGAGGCCAAAAGATGTGTTGTCATAGAAGGCAAACAGGCTGGGCCGGAAAGCTCTGACACTTGTCTTTCCTATATGGAGAAGGGCTCAGTGGACTAACCCTCTGGTAGCTATCTTTGGGAGACGTGGGGGAAGACTGCTTCCTTGAGACACTCCTGTGACTCCGAGCTCTGTGGGGCTCTGTTCTCTCCACTCCTGCCACTAGTCCTGCCTGGCAATCCCCCAGGTCTGCTTTCCTCACAGGCTGCTCCATGGTGTAGGGTTTAGGGAGAGGGCTCAATGGACCACTGATTCCACCTGCTCCTTGGAAAAGCTCCAGTTTCTCAGGAACCAGGTGAGCCCCTCGACTCGGAGGCCTAAACCTGTCCTCTGCCTGGTCCCAGGTACGCATCCTAGAACTGTAGGTGGGGGCCTGCCCTGGAGTCAGAGTGGACATGCTCCTCTCCTGGAATGGTCGGGGTTGCTTGGTCTCATGAAAACTAGCCGTCCTCCTGAAATGGGAATTCCTGGGGTGGCTCCTTTCTGATGAGGCCCCTCTGCCACTCGTGTGCCTCAACTGGGACTTGCGGATCAGAGTCTGGCTGGAGCTGATGGCACAACTGGCCTGAGACATGTTGAAATCTAGCCTGGAGGGAAGCCTTTCCCCGCCACTCCCCAGCCTCACAGGCTGGTCCAGAAATGGAGACTTGATCCGGAACTTACTTGCTGCAGCTTCTTCTGGGCTTTCCAAGTCTAAGGGAGGACCGGCCGCAGAGTCTATGGCGGTGTCTGTCAGGGGACTCTGAGACACATGGTACACTTTGGTGGTCTCCGTCAGTCCTTTCTTCTTCATCTCCTTCAGCTGCTGCTGGGCAAGGCGGTAGCTGAACAGAGGGGGGATTATCTTCTGTGCATTGGACTGAAAGCTCTCGCTGCCAGAGGCGTCATCCTCAGGAGTCACCTGCACACTGCGCCTGTAGGTCAGAGGGATACCCGTGTCCCCTGGGCTCCCCCCAGGCCCATCACCCCCATCCGAGAAGCTTCCCCGCTGCTCCCTTGGCTCGCAGATGTTCTCCTCATCGGAGTTCTTCCGGAAGCTGGGGGAATGGATGGAGTTGTGTCGAGCCGGGGTGCTGCATTTGGGGGACCGGCCAAACCTCCTCCACAGAGTGATGAGGACGGTGGCAATGATGATGAAGAGGCACAGGGATATCCCAGTGACCGTCACGATATTGTTGGACTTTGCCGGACCCTGGGGTGGAAGGGGGGATGAGCTGGCTGGCCCGGAAGCAGCACACTCCTCCAGGGAACATGGGGAGGCCTCCGAGGACACTCCAGGGCAGCCAGGTCTGGAGGGGAAGGAAGTGAGACAGACTCAGCGACGTTCTCTGACACCATCCCCACATGTAGCGCCTCATTGGCTCCACGGCTGCCACGGTCCCCAAGTTTCATAGTCACAGAGCACCACCAACAATAGATTTGAAAAGTCTTTCAACATTGGTTTCATTCTGATCAGCAAAATTTCAGATTTTTAGTCTCCTCATGTCCTTTCTCCCATCCGAATTGTGCTTTTCTTTTTCCAAAAACACCTCTGGGGACTGGCGAGGGTGGTGAGGCTGGACGAGGTTTCAAGGCCAGCCGGGAGAGGTGGAGAGGCGGAGAGGCAGGAGGGAGGCCTCAAGGGCCCGCGATCCAGCGACCCTGGACTGGGACTGCGCTCCCGCGGTGTGCACCGCTCCCGCAGACCCGCCCAGACCCGCCCAGGATGGCCTGGGGAGGTGGGCACCGGGAGGGCCAGCGAGGTCCGCCCCCGCCACTTCTGGGCAGCTCATCCTTTCCTGCCCCCTCAGGCTAGCCGCAGCTAGACAGTTAAAACATTTCTTATTGGGGCTGGGATTGTGGCTCAGCGACCAGGTTCGATCCTCAGCACCACATAAAAATAAAAGCATTGTGTTGTGTCCATCTACACCTAAAAAAAATAAATATTTTTAAAAAAAACATTTCTTGTTACCTCTTCCTCCATCTTTTTCTTGATTTCTTAGAGAAAGAGCTTCCTTTCTCAAATTTTCTCATTATGTTTTTTAGTATCCTTTGTCAGTTAATCCCCTCCTTAAGACTGTGTAGACTCCTCAGTGATTCTTTTCCTTCAGATTACACACCCTCTTTGTTTTCTTCTATGGGGGCAGGGGTTGCATGGTGGGGGAGCACAAGAAAAACAATGAAAACTTTGCCTTATGCTTTTTTACCCACCTTGTCACTTCTTTGAGCAAGAGTTACCTGAGAAGAACACATATGCCATTCATTCCTAAAAAACCCCTTATGGATTTCCTTCGGCCCCACTGTACTATGAAAAAAAAAATTGTAATGTATGTCCACTCTATTGAGCTATAATTCACTTTACAGAACCAACTGTTCAAAGTGTTTTCAGTGTATTCCAAATTGTGAAGCCACCACAATTGATTTTAGTATCCCTAATAACTAATCACCAATTTGAGTAACCTTTCCTTAATTTCTTGTCCTTTAAGTTTTCTTTAGCATTTCTCACTGCTGACCACCATCTCTGATTTAAAGTTGATATCCTTTGGTTTCTTGTGCAAGCAAGAATCAAATTTTCCTACCTCTTTGACCCTTTCTTATCTGGTGATTCTTCATACAGAGTCATCAAGGAGTTGTTCGCAGACCTCTTTTCCGCTACATTTACATAGACAAATCCTAAGTAGATATGTTCGTTCTAGATTTTAACAGACTCATTTGTTTGATAGATGTTTCCACACAATTACCTTTCAAGTTCTTCAAACCTAAAGTTTATAGAACCATATTCTTTTCTTCCCCTTCAAAACCAGCTCTTCCTTGATTTTCCCTTTTATTTCTGCCTGCCTTTCCCACTGGACTTTGCTTGTATTGTTCCCCGCTGTGCTGTTGAGACCTGACTTAGTAAATGCTCAGCAGATATTTGAATGAATAAGTGCAGAGAGAACTGTTACTATAATGAATCTTAAAGTATATCATAAATAAATTACAAATGTGGGTAGATCTTGATTCTTTTAGCCAACTGGCCAGGTGCCTTCTGTTCTACAAGAAGGTACATGACTATTTATTAATATCAAAAAATAGAAACATTTTCAAATGTTCATCCACAGTAGAAAGGATGGATAAGATGTGTTATATCCATAGAATAAAATACTATATGGCACTTTTTCAACTTTGGCACTATTGATAGGTTGAGCCAGATAATTCCTTGTAGGGAGTTGTTCTGTGAATTGTAGTATGCTCAGCAACATTCTTAGCCTCTACCCCCTAAATGTCAGAAGCCATCCCCCAGTTATATAACAGATGTCTGGAGGCGTTTTTTTAAGTGTCCTTGAGAATCACTGTAGAACAGTGATGAGAGAATGAAACCTGCTTTATGCGATAGCAGAGATGAATCCCACACACTGTGTCAAGCAACAGGAAATGGACATAAAGCAGTGCTACTATGTCACTGGACATGTCCTTCAAAAATAGGTAAAACTGGTTGGGAAGAGAGGTTAGGATGGTTCTCTTTGCAGGGGATAGGATAGTGACTAAGAGAAGAAGGAAGCAAGCTCTGGGAGGTTGGCTGTATTCTGGTTCTCAGTTGAATGGAGTTGCACAGATGTGTTTACTTTGTAAAAATTAATCAACTACACAATAATGCACTTTCTTTCTGTTGTAGTTTATAAAACCATACCCACACATGAGCAAACATTCCTCAGCTACTGAGGGATATGGGCTAGTGGCAATAAGGAAATAAAGAGCCCTTCTGGTCCCCTAAGGAGTCCCATCTGATTTTTACCCCCTGGCCTATTTTTAAATTAAAGAATAGAACTTGTGAGTTCCGGGGCGGGACATCGAGAAGTAACCGGACCCAATTTTTAAGAGGCAGAGGCTGCAATGGCGATTTTTAGCGTGTATGTGGTGAATAAAGCTGGTGGCCTCATTTACCAGTTGGATAGCTACGCGCCCCGGGCTGAGGCTGAGAAAACGTTCAGCTACCCGCTGGATCTGCTGCTCAAGCTACATGACAAGCGTGTGCTGGTTGCCTTCGGACAGCGCGATGGCATCCGGGGCTTTTTGCCATTGGCTCCCAGCTGTCTCCCGAACAGGGAAGCTCAGACATTGAGATGCTGGAGACAGACACTTTCAAACTGCACTGCTTCCAGACACTAACAGGGATCAAGTTTGTGGTGCTGGCAGATCCTAGGCAAGCTGGAATAGATTTTCTTCTTCGAAAAATTTATGAAATTTACTCAGATTTTGCACTCAAGAATCCATTCTACTCCCTGGAAATGCCCATCAGGTGTGAGCTGTTTGACCACAACCTGAAGCTAGCTTTGGAAGTGGCAGAGAAAGCTGGGACTTTTGGACCTGAGTCATAGATTAAATCTACAGTGGACTCCCAAATTCTGAGAGATCGTGCAGCATGGGTTCTATTGTTTCCACTCCATTGGAGATCCCAGCAGCCTTGTTAGTATACTTGAAAATGGAAGGATACTGATATCTTGTCCTGATCCCTGAGCTTTAATGGTATGCTTTCTTCTTTTCTGTAGATGTCATGGTCCTACTTCCCAACTCTGTACAGATTTATTTATGGAGGAGGTAGGCCCATGAATGCTATAATAAAACATTCCTTTGAAAAAAAAAGAATAGAACTTGTGTACCTATGGCCTAAAATGTACACGTTAACATTTTGCCACTTTTGCTGTGTGATTTTGTTCTAGCCAAATAGTTTAAAAGTAAGTTGCAAACATCATGACACTTAGTGTGAAATGTTGGCCTGTATCTACTAAGAATAAAGTCATTCTCCTATGTGACAATATTATTTTATAATATAACAATATTATTAATCCTAAGAAAATTCACAGAGATTCCCTTATTATCCAGTACATATTTGAATTTTTCCTAATCCTTATTTCTTTTGTAGTTAAAAAGAGGTGAGGAGGCTAGGGATATCGCTCAGTTGGTACTATGCTTGCCTTGCATGCACAAGGCCCTGGGTTCAATCCCCAGTACTACCAAAAATGGGATGGGGGGTCTAATCAAGGTTCTCATTGCGTTTGGTTGTTTGGATCTTTAGCTTTTTTAAATCTAGGGCAGTTCCTCCTTACCATCATTTTATTTTTTCATGACATTGACTTGTAGGGGGTGATTGGAGGGGTTACTGGGGATGAAACCAGGGACACTCATTGAGCAACATCCCGATCCTTTTTATTTTATTTTGTCAGGGTCAGGGTCTAAATTGCTCAGGCAGGCCTCAAACTTGTGATCCTCTTTCCTCAGCCTCCCAAGTCACTGAGATTACAGGCCTGCACCGCCATACTTAGTGACATTAATTTTTTAGTTTCCTTATGCTGTTTAACTTGTTCTACCCCAGTATTACTATAAACTAGAAGTTACGTCTACAGGCTTGGGCTGGGGAGGTGGCTCAAGCGGTAACGCACTTGCCTAGCATGTGCAGGGCGGTGGTCCTCAGCACCACATAAAAATAGAATAAAGATGTTGTGTCCACCAAAAACCCAAAAAAAAGTCTACAGGCTTAGTTGGATTTAGGTTATGCTTTTTTCCACACAAACCCCACCCGTATTACTGTGGACTCGGTTTTTATTCAGTATTTACAATCAAGAACAGGCATTTTTTCTTTTTAATATTTACATTTTGCCAAATGTATCTAGTGTTCACTCTTCCTAATGGCTCCTGTCTTGGTAAACTGCCTGCTTACAACCCAAGAAGGCCTCTACTCCAGACTGGAAAATAGCTTGCTTCCTTTTAGATGGAATGGTTTTGAAAGAACTAAAACTTGGTCACTGGATTATTCCTGATGATGGGAGTGTCACTACTTCTTTCTAAGTGGAAAGAACTGGCATATATGTATATATATATTTTTTGAGTGTGATTTATTTTTATATTTTTAATTAAAGTTTAGCATTGTACATTTTTTTCTTAACCTTTAACTTTGTGCATGCATATTTATTTTCTTTGCACAGAAAATCTTGGTTCCTAACATTAACATTTGTTTCTGTATATCCTATAATATACCAAAAAGGAAGGGGTGAAAATTACAATTTTAATGCTACTACTGACAGTGTAATGAAGTTTAAGATTTCTCTGAGATTCTTTTTATCCTTAGAGTACGTCTCACTGAGGGTATAATGATATCAGCAATTACTTGAAATAATTTTCTGTTGCCCACGAGTTGACTTTGAGATTTACTTTTTTAGTTTTAGTTACTTTTATTAATACTTAAGTATTTACATGACCAAAAAGTCAAAGAAAGTAACTTGGAAGCCAACCTGAAAGATCTTCCAGTGGCTATGGTAAAACAATTTTATCAAGAGAATAATGGTATTATTATTATTTATAACTCAAGGAATAAAATAAATACCCATAAGTCTATACTGACATAAACAAGTAAGTGAGAGAGAAAGAACAAATCTTTCTTAGAAAAGAATTCTAAATAATATACATTGAAGAAGTGAATGAGATGGAAGGTCACCATGAGAACACAACAGCCAGATGTCACCCCAGCTACTCAGGAGGCAGAGGCAGGAGGATGGCTTGAACCCAGAGCTATGGACAACATAGAGAAACCCCAGTCTCAGGCAGAATTCTTAGATGAATGTTAAAATTAGTTGGTGACTCTCTTAGAAGAAATGTATTTACATACTTGGTTGCATTATGTAGTATTTACTAATTGCTATGGTGGTTTTAACATATGTCCACAGATTCTTTAATATTGCTCCCTCAAAAAAGGTGGAACTTTGTTCCTTTATCCTCCAGTAAGGACATTGGGCTGAATCTAGTGACTGGTTTCTGAAGTAGAAAATCAAAAGGGAAAAATAATAATTTACAATGAGAAACCTAGCAGACCCCCATCTTAACAAGTGGTCATAGTTAGCCTCAGCTATGAAAAGTCTCTTGATGTCACCGGTCCTCTAACATGATGTGATGAGGAAGACACTTAACCTCTGTGGCATTCTCTCCTAAAACTGCATTCCTGGGAAAACAGACAAATCAGAAGACCTGCCTGCTTCTCTTTAAAACTGACCAGGGCATGGAAAACAAGGAAGACTGAAAAACTAAGCGATTTAAGTCCTGAGCACCATGTTTATGTAAGGTGTTAACTCAGGAAACTGAGTGAAGGGCATTGATAAACTCTGTACTTTTAATTGGAAAAAAAAAAATTAGGGACCAAGAAAATAGCAGTTCTTTTCTCTCCTTTTTCACCTAGATATTAGCATTCTGTGTATACCACTCTGCTTTTTGCCGATTCTGAAAATCTCTCCAATCCTTACAGTACCATTTTTATTCTTTGTAACAGCCTCAGAGTATGCTGCTATAGTCATGTACCATATTCCATTCACCTAGTTCCTTGTTGCTGAACATTTGGGTTATCTGTGGATTTGCCATTACAAATAACACTGCGGGAATGATCTTATGCATATGTTATTTTATATTTGTGACTGTGTTTCTAGAGAAGATTCCTAGCCGTGGGATTGCTTGGTCAAAGAGCAAATGTGTATGTCATTTTGTTAGTTATGGCCAACTCACCCTCTGTGACAATTATACCATTTTTTTCTCCCACTGGCAATATTTGAGACACCCGCTGCTTTTTCCTTAGCCTTGCCAACAGTAAATTGCCGAACTTTTGGATTAATAGCTTCTGGGGTTTTAGTTAACTGTTCCCCCAACCAGGCACTGCCCAATTTAATCAATATTGTATACAAAAGTATAAATTTGTAGGACAATCTCAGCTGCCCTTTAGGGCTAGCAGGTGGGAAGAGGAGACTACTCAGCTCTGCCATTTCACCTTTCCGATCAGAAATAAGGCAGGTATGCAGAGCAAATTAGGCTTCCAAATGAACTGGTGGGCCAGAGATAGGCCACAGCCATGTTTTCTGCTCAACAGACTAACCTGGCTCCGGCCATCTCCTTTGGAACCCTTCTGCCACGTTTGAAAAATGTGTATTGTCCCTGAGCCAATTCACAAGGGACTTAACATGTTTGAATGGCCTCCAGATGAGCTCCTTGTTTTTCTTTTCTGTCGATGTGCAGCTTTTAGAGAATCTGTGTGTTCCAAATGAAAGAAAGGGAAAGGATGAGAAAGCAGGCACAGCCTGAAGGCCTCCTTCCTCATAGACTGCCTCCCTCCACCCACCTTCTCAGGCCTCCCCACACGTGGGCTGGTTCATATTGCTCAGTTCCTGGAGGTGAATTCACCGAATCCTATGGCTTTTATAAGTTAAAGTGCCTAGGTAAAGGCAAGTAAACTACAAAAGGGAAAATGTGATACTAAATGGGAGAGAGGGATAGTTTGGGAGCATAAATCTTTGTAGGGGATTAAGATAGACCTGGGCTTTACTGAAGATTGGAATCTAGACATGAAACAGTTTCTATCAATAAAGACAGAAAGGAAGTGTAAGCTATACTTAGTTTCTTCCAATATTTTACCTAGATTTAAACCTTTATGTTCCAGATGAGGAGAAAATGATCTTCTAAGTAATCATGACATCTGGGATTTATTGATATTAAAGTCACGTAGGTGTATTGAATTGGCTTTGGAGGTTAGCCTTTGGTTCTAACTGGCAATCAGTATGGCACAGTTTCTGTAGGGAGTTTTGATTCAAAATCAAGTGCATTCTGTCATTATAGATGGCCTGTAATGGTTAGGTTTCCTTAGTTTAGCATCCCTTTTCAACTTGCATCGTTATTTTATTTTTCTCTTAGGATTCTAAAGTTTTCAGACAACCTTTTGGAAAGAACAAGTCTACTCCAATAAATGAAGGAGAATAAAGAAAATTCAAGCCCTTCAGTAACGTCAGCAAACCTGGACCACACAAAACCATGTTGGTACTGGGATAAGAAAGACCTGGCTCATACACCCTCGCAACTTGAAGGACTCGATCCAGCCACTGAGGCCCGGTACCGCCGAGAGGGGGCTAGATTCATCTTTGATGTGGGCACACGTTTGGGGCTGTATCCTAATTTTTCTTGGAATCTGTTACAGATAGGTTCCCCACCACCACCAAGAATTAATTAGATATTGTAGATAAAATATCCAGTCATTTCTCTGTTCTAGGACAGTTGTTAAATATCCTTGTTGTTTGACTCTTGTTCTGATTGCCTGGCTCTGCAGGGGTTTTCCTTTTTCTAGTTCACATTTAAATGTGTAGACTTAACCACTGAGCAGTCAGGCCCCAGGAAGAAAACCAACACCCATTAAGATCTCAGCTGAAGTGTGTCACAAGGCTTATATCAGAATTCTGGTCCCTCAGATTCCATCTACCTGCTTTGCCACTGGTATTGTTTGCCGCTGACGTTGTTGCTTGTCTTTATTTCTTTTCTACGTTTAACTAAGAATATAACCTGTAAAAAATTATTGACTAAAAGTCCTTAACTAGAACAACAGACACTATGACACCCTGGCAACTGGAATAATTTATTTTCATCGCTTTTATATGTTCCATTCCTTCAAGCAATTCCCAAGATATGTAAGTGTTTGAATTTTGTCATTCTCTATTACATGTTATTGTTTCTTACATTTTGGTGGACTAATTATAGTGTCTCGTTTTTTTTTCCAGAAAGGGTTGATTTTTATCTGGTAGACACTGTGTATTTTTTAAAAATCAGGTTTGAACTTTGTATTTTCCAATTAACCATGTTCAAGTCTTTTTTTACTTAGGTCAGTAGAAACCACAGTCATTGCACTTTGTATGAAAGTGTACTTTCTTATTACCTTTTCCAAAATAAATCTGAACTTAAGTGAGGCCGTAGGAGAGGTATAGGTACAGGGCTGTGGCATTCAAGGGGACATTAATTACATGTTGGAGGGATCAGGGAACATGCAAGGGAGGAAGTGCTAGCAGTTTAAATTAAGTCTTGAGGGTAGTGGGTGTAGGTGTGCCAAGATGGGCTAGGGGAGCAGTCCAGTGGAAACAGTTCCAGTGGACGCAGGGAAGGCACTGCACACTAACAGCCCAGTTGGAACTCCGTCTGTCAGGAGGGGAATGATGAAACCCTGCATGGGAAAGTAAACCAGGGAGAGTCTTGAATATCAGATTGAGGACATTTGACTTCAGTTAGACAGTGAACTGGTTAAAAGATGACAGAATCAGACCTACGAGGAAGGTTCATTTTGCTCGTTTTTTGTTTTAAGACTTTGATTTGTATGCCTCTTTAGTTTATGATTTCTTGAAGAAGGAGGCAGTGTCAAAATGAGCTTTGTTCCCTGGCACAGTGACATCCAGTGTGATCCTGATTATGTGAAGAGCGTGGAATGTGGAAGGATAAGAGTGGGTCAGGAGACAACAAAGAAAGAGCAGCTCTCACCTCAGTGACACAGGGACTGCAGTCAGCTGGAGGCAACTGAAGGGACAGTGTCTTAATCCTTTTGGGATGTTATAACACAGTCGTTTAGGCTGGATCATCTGTGAATAACATACTCCTCGAAGTTCTGAAGAGTTCAAGGTCCAAGATCAAGGGACTGGCAGGTTCAGTGTCGAGTAAGGGTCTGTTCCTCATAGAGGGCACCTTTTGTTGTGTCCTCCCCTGATGATGGGAGAACAGTAATCCCATTCATGAGGGGATCACCTTCCAAAAACTCCCCTTCTAGACTGCAAAATTGGTGCAATCACTCTGGAAAGCAATATGGAGATTTCGAAACTAGGAATCAAACCACCATTTGACCCAATTATACCACTCCTTGGTATATTCCCAAAGGATTAAGATCAGCATACTACAGTGATGCAGCCACTTCGATGTTTATACCAGCTCAACTCACAATAGCTAAGCTATTGAACCAACCAAGGTGTCCTTCAACAGATGGATAAAGAAAATGTGGTATAGATACGTAATGGAATATTATTCAGCCACCAAAAAGAATGACTTTATGACTTGCTGGTAAATGGTTGGATCTGGAAACTATCATGCTAAGTGAAATAAGCAAATCCCAAAAAACAAAGATTGAATGTTCTCTCTGATATGCAGATGCTAACACAAAACAAGTGTGGGGGGGATAAAAGTTCATTGGATTAGACAAAGGGGAATGAAGGGAAGGGAGGAGGGATCAGAATAGGAAAGACAGTGGAATGAGTCTAACATGACATTCCTATGTTTATGTATGAAAACACCACCAGTGAAACACCACATCAAGAATGGGATCCTAATTTGAATAAGTTACACTCCATGCATTTATAATGTCAAAGTACACTCTACTATCATGTATATCTAAAAAGAACAAATTTCTTCAACTAAAAAAAATATAAAAAACCACTTGTAGATACTACCACACTGGCATTCAGTTTCAGCATGTGACCTCTGAGGGAACACACACATTCAGACTGCAACAGGAAGGAAAGAAGGTATAGGCAAAAGAAAATTAATCTTTCTCTTTTTAAATAATTTACAAAGCCTAATTTTTTTTCAGGTGTGTTAAATATCCTTTAGACTTTTTTTAGAATATCAGCATATTGATAAATGACAAGGAGAATAGAGGGATTCCTTTATTGTGAAGGTCAGAAAACCTTGTATCTATTCCTGGATGACCTTTGCTAACAAAATTCAAGAGCTTTTGTCTCCCTCTTAGGTGACAGGAGCTTGTTGTCTCTTTCTGGCTGGGAAAGTAGAAGAAACACCAAAAAAATGTAAAGATATCATCAAAACAGCTCGTAGTTTATTAAACGATGTACAGTTTGGCCAGTTTGGAGATGATCCAAAGGTAAGAACTGTAACTTCCTGCCTTCAAATCTTGATTCCTGTGATACGGTTCTTGAGCTGACAATGGCCCTAGTGCCTGTCTGCCAGGCCCGTGAGTTCCTAAAGGGTCCTTATTTAGAAGTCACCCTTTGCTTGGTGAGACAGGAGAGAAGATGAGGTAGTATTTTCCAATGTGCCCAGCAGCATCCTGAGCCCCTTAAGGGCAATGACACACGAGGGTAATGAGCAAAAATTCTCTCCTTATCGTCAGCACTTGGTGGCATAGGGAGAGCAGGGTCACATTTCCAGCTAGCTTCTGAGTCAGTGTTCTTCCACCCTCATTCCTATCAAGGTCCCCCTCTTGTAATCCTTAGAGCCCTTGTTAATTATCCTTAATAATATATTTATCACAGCTTGTAATTGATAGACTTTTTTTCTTTAAGAATCAATTTTTAAAATCAGTTTTAGGTTCATAGCAAAATGAAAAGAATGGTATGGGGAGTTCCCATGTCCCCTTTGTCCCACAGTGCACGGTGCTTCCACCATTGTTGGCAGCCCTCACCAGAGTGGTGCATTTGTTAAAAATTGATGAACTTATCTCAACACATCATTTTCATGCAGATAATTCCATGGTTTACATTAAGGTTCAGTCTTGGTTTTATACACTCTGGGTCTGGATAAATGTGTAATGTATCCTCCATCATGGTGTGTTTTCCTCTGTGCTTTGCCTGCTCATCCCTTCCTCCTCCTCCTCCTCAACCACTAGCAACTACTGCTCTTTTTACCATCTCCATAGTTTTGCAGTTGCCCAGAATGTCACAGATTGGAATTCTGCAATATGTGACTTTTTAAGCTAGGCTGCTTCTACTTAGTACTACGCATATCAAATAATCAATCACATTTAACTCTCCTTCTCAACTGTAAGATCTGCAAGAGCGAGGCTGTGTCTGGTGGCTAGCACAGCAGCTGGCCTAGCATTCAGTAGATACTTGTTGAAAAAATGACAAAAGAATGTTATGGGGGAAACACAAAATCAAAGTTAAAACAAAGCCAAGGTGATGAGGCTCAGCACATTCATGTAGTTATCTTGCCTATCTAGCTTGTGTTATCTCATGTCAGCTATTCTGTTCTCTGTCAAGCATTGTTTATATGTGTGTGTGTGAAATGTGTAGTCATTTCCTCATTCCAGAGTTAACAGAGGCCCAGAACACTTTTGTACCTATTGTGTTTGCAGTTAATATTAACGCTTTGTATGCATTGTCATTGTTGATAATCCTTTCCCTTAGGTTTAATTATTAAGTTCACTAACCTCTTTCTAAAAGTTGAAACCTGTAGAAATTCTTATTTACAATAATCAGAAATGCAATTTTGAACCACTTAAAGATTAAGTGTCTTACACATCTGGGACCAATAAGGGTGCAGATGCATGGCAGCAGCTGGTGTGTTCTATCCTGAGGTGTCCCTTTCCATCTGTACCCACTGTTCCATCAAATCAGGAAACCAAGGCCCTGTCCAGACACAATGAAGTAGATGTTCTGTAACTAAGGCTTCATAAACTAGGGAAGGGGAGCTAGTCATACTGATAAGACCTGCACGTGTGAGGCGCTCTGCCCCTTCCTGCAGCATGTGCAGTCTCTGACATGACGGGGGAGGCAGGGGAGACTTTATTTTGGTAGAAAGGAGGCGGTTATTGAGGGAAGCAGCAAAAGTATTTAAGGAAAATAAAGTCATGATTTGTGTGGAACTTTTTTACTTAACTGTGTAGTTTTCCCCAGTAATATTAATTTCTCATGGATTCAGCAAATATTTATTTTCAGCCACTTTATTAAGCACCAGACATAAAACACTTGGCAAACAGACATTTTTTTACTATCATGGATTGTGGAGTTGAGTGGCAGGATAGATGTTAATAAAATAATCATACAAATAGCTGTCTGATCATGATCAGTGGTAAATGCTTTAAAAAAAAGGACATTTCAAGGTGCATTCCACCTGGGGATGCAGCAGACAACTGCTGTGGAGCATCCCTGAGCAAAGTGTTTGCAGGAGACCTGTAGTTACTCAATTATTGAATATTTGAAATACAAAGAGAGGGCAGGCCTGGGCTGCCTTGTAATATTCGGTGGGCCACAGCCTGGAAGTCATTGGCACATTGGGAAAAAGATTGTGTCTAAATTTGAAAGAAACATTGGAAGTAGCTTTTAACAATAAAAAGTCAGAAAAGGGGGTAGCATTCAGTAGACACACCTGTAATCCCAGTCATTCAGGAGGCTGAGTCAGGACAATCCCAAGTTCCAGGATAGCCTGGGAAACTTTACAAGATCCTGTATCAAAAAACAGAAAGGATGGGAGGTAACTCAGTGGTAAAGCACCCCTAGGTTCAGTCCCCAGTCCCAAGGGGAAACAAAAGGCAGAATTTATATTTACCGTATAAAACTTTCAGAGATTTTAGAAAGTGTTCATAAAAGAATGCTTGGGAAACTAGGATAGAAAAACCTTAGTCTTGCCATGCCATTTGAAATAATAAATCATTATATAGTCATCTCAGTATTCTGTGAGGATATACTGTACTTCAAAAAGAAAGCCAGCCACTTGCATGGCTCCTCTTCCCAGAGTTAGTGTGTTTGTATGAGTATTAATGATGAGAGTTCTCAGTCCTCTAAACGGCTCTTTCTCCTCTAATACCAAACAAGTAATTCTCTCTAATCATTCTTCCACACAGAGTGTCTTGACTTTGTTTCACTGCTGGATTGTATAGTGGTCAAGAAGTACCTGTTTAGAGATATTAACTAGGTATTGAGTATGAGAAAAGAAGAGATTCCATTTACAATACCAACAGTAAAATAAAATACCTAGGCCAGGCCATGGTTGTGCACACCTGTGATCCCAGCTACCAGGGAGGCAGAGTCAGGAGGATTTCAAGTTTGAGGCCAGCCTGAACAATTTATCAAAACCCTTTCTCCAAATAAAAAATTAAACAAAGGGCTGAGGGTATAGCTCAGTGGTAGAGTGTCCCTGGGTTAAATCCCCAGTACCACAAACACACACAGGAAATACATATCCATCGTTAACCCTTGTAGAATCCTTGTGAAGGATAGAGAAGAAAGCTTGAATATTACTAAAGGATTGAAAAGATTTAAATAAAATATAAATCTTTATATTTATAATATAATCTTTAAAATTATACGATCATTCAAATAATTTAGAAATCTTCATTTTCCTTAGTCATTCTATATATTTAATGATTTCTCTATCAGAATATCAGTAGTTTGAATTTATTTATTTATTGGTTATTTCTAGGATGATTATTAAGTAAAATCTAGATGGTGAGGAACATGCTAAAATCAAGAAACATTTTAAAAGGAGGATCAATAATAAAACTACTCCTTCCAAATTCTTTTAATCATGTTGCAGGAGAAGATTAAGTGTAACATTGTGAACAGAAAAATGTGTATAAATGCATGTATTATCCACATTGTAGGTGTGGTTTAGACTGCAGTTCAAAGAAAAGAAAAATGATTCCTCATTCAGTAGACAGTGTTGGGACAGCTTGTTTTAGATAAGTGAAAGTTTTAAAAACAAAAATGATGTGCCACACACACACATACACAAATACAACTTACTATGAGTTTTTGTAAAACTGGTTGTCACAATCTCTTCCTGCAAGTTTCCTGTAAAAATCCCTTGGTGATTGCATTCTCTCAAGGGAATCTCAAAAGACACCACAGTATATTTAAATTATCAAGTAAAGGTCTCTTTTGTAAAGTGAGACTCTGCATGTTTGGAAGTAGCTAACATTTCTAAGGATCTTTATTTTGTTTCTAATGTTTTTTAAGCTAACCATCTGATTGGCTTGGCTTCCTGTGGCAAGTTCTGGAAATCTATCACTGTCTGAGCCTGAGTGGAGAGAGGAAAGAAGGAATAAAGAGTAAAAGTGTAATTTGAAGAGAAAATAGATGAAAATGTTTACTCTTTTTTAATGCTATTTGAGACCTGTAATTATAAATACTGTCCCAGCATTTGTTATTTTATTTTTAGGAAGAAGTAATGGTTCTGGAGAGAATCTTACTACAGACCATAAAGTTTGATTTACAGGTAGAACATCCATACCAATTCCTGCTCAAATATGCAAAACAACTTAAAGGTAAGGAGGAAGACGTTTTTTGTTTTTTGTTTTTTGTTTTTAACTTTATTTTATTTATCTATTGTTTTATGTGGTGCTGAGAATTGAACCCAGAGCCTCCAATGTACTAGACGAACTCTCTACCTCTGGGCTACTACCAGCCTGGAAAAAGGTTTTTAAAGACCTTTTCCAGCTGGTTATGGTGGTACAGGCCTCTAATCCCAGTGACTTGGGAGGCTGAGGCAAGGAGGATAGAAAGTTTAAAACCAGCCTCCAAACTTACTGAGACCCTGTCTCCAAATTTAAAAAATGAAAGGGGATAGGGGTATAGCTCAGTAAAGAGCCCCTGGGTTCAATTTCCTGCACTGCAGATGAAGACCGTTTCCATTCTGAAATCAAGTCTGTGGTAGTCTGCTTTCTGTTCCCGTGACCAAAGTATACAAGAACAACTTAGAAGAGGAAAGGTTTATTTTGGCTCACAGTTCATAGGTTTAGTCCATGGTTAGCTTACTCCATTGCTGTAGGCATGGGGGACTCAGAACATTTTGGCAGAAAGACAGCAGATGGGGAGCTGCTCAGCTCTCGACAGCCAGGAAGCAAAGAGAGAGAGAGAGGGAAGGAGAAGGAGAAAGCACCTGCACACTGCACGCTCTGCTTGCCAGGGACAAATTATAAACCCCAAAGGCACACCCCCCAATGACCTACTTCCTCTGGCCACTCCCCATCTGCCAACAGTTACTACCCAGCATAGTAGTCCTTTCAAATTATTAATTCATCAAATGGTTTAATCCCCTGATTAGGTTACTACTGTCATAATCTAATCATTTCACCTATTGCTACGTTGTCTCATGTTTTGGGGGGGACCACTTCATATTTAAACCATAATGAAGTTTTTATATTCCCCTTATGCTTCTCAGAAGAGGAAAATAGGAAGTTTTGATGTATTAATGCATTACCCAAGACATAGCTCGTTCAGACAATTCAGTAGTGTGGCCATTAATGCTGTTTCCTTTTATGCATAAATAGGTTCTGTCATCCAGTTGCCAAGTGATAGCAGACAGGAAAATGAGTCAGAATTTTTTAAATAGACTAATAAAATTAGCTTCAGAGCCAGGTTTCCCATAAATAGTGGTTCATTGTAGGTCATGTGGAAAAAGAACAAGAGGTAGAATGTGGACGCATGTTGTTTGTCCTCATTTCTCAGACAAAAGATCTTTGCTGTGCTGACACACAGTAGGTCTCAAATTCTTTTGCTTCTTTTGAATTCTCCCTCCCCGCCCCATTTCTATTGATTTACCTGTTTTCCTCATTTCTAGGTGATAAAAATAAAATTCAAAAGTTGGTTCAAATGGCGTGGACATTTGTAAATGACAGGTATGCATGTTCATACATTGATGTCATTAAAAGGATTTTCTGGGTCATTTAATACAAATACTTCCTTTTATAGTAGAAAAAAATTAACTTGCTTTGTATGAAGTGACAGTGGCAGAGCTGGGGGCTGAAGTCCAGGTCATCTGCTTCTCCGCAAATGGGTTTCTTCCTGCCCTGCAGGGCCATGTAGTGTGCAAAGCTGAAATCTTACTGACAACTTGAAATATAAGTACAGAGCAACACCCTGGAGTATTGTGACAACTGCATGCTTTGAGCCCACTTGGTTTTTTGTGATGGCATTCGAGTGTGTTCCTTAGAATGCCAATGACTGGGAGCCAGCTGCCCCATGACAACACAGCAGCTTTTTCCTCTTAGATTTGACTTGTAGGATGTTTGACCTCCCATAAGGTTTTACTTGAAGAGGAGTGCAGGGGCCAGGATTTCAACACCAAAAGAAAGTATGTAAACCATCTTTCTTTGGTGTTTCATAATTAGCAGTTTTTGAACATAATAGAATTATTATAATTCTTTAAAGAACATTCAAATAAGTAACGATGGTTGAAGTAGCTTATTTTGGTACCTAAAGACTTGCTTTTTTGTTTATAACACTTGAGTCATGTTTAGATGACTAAGCAAATTGACATGCAAATAGATGGCTTCTGATCTCCGTGCATTGGTGTGACCATAAATATTAGATTATACACAAGAAGTCTTTTTTTTTCTTTCCTTGTCGAGCTAGTCTCTGCACCACCTTGTCACTGCAATGGGAACCAGAGATCATAGCAGTAGCCGTGATGTATCTCGCAGGACGCTTGTGCAAGTTTGAAATACAAGAATGGACCTCCAAACCCATGTATAGGAGATGGTGGGAGCAGTTTGTTCAAGATGTCCCTGTTGATGTTTTGGAAGGTAATCTGAGCAGGCCCAGCTTCCTTGAGAATGTCCCTGTAAATCCTGAGTCCCAAGAGTTAATTTCCCCAAATAGGTATCTGTAAGCCATTTTTCAGAGACATCTGTAATTCTCTAATACAATTTTTGTTTTCTCCAAGCATAAAGTTTTAATGAGCTAAAAATTCCAGCCCAGTTTTGCACACAGCAATGATGGGGTGGGTTGCAAATGGGATTCTTAATTACTGGTCCTTGTAGGAGAATCATAGCTAGGATTTCCATAGGTAAAATTTGATTTAAAATGTCTTTTTTTGTGGTAAGTGAAATTGTTGGCTGTCATTTAGATATCTGCCACCAGATCCTGGATCTTTACTCACAAGGAAAACAACAGATGCCTCATCACACCCCCCATCAGCTGCAACAGCCCCCATCTCTTCAGCCTACACCACAAGTGCCACAAGTACAACAGTCACAACCGTCTCAAGGCTCCGAACCAGCCCAGCCCCAGCAGAAGGACTCCCAGCAATCAGCCCAGCAGCCGCAGCAGCCGCCCACACAGCCACCCAAGAAGCCGTCCCCACAGCCCAGTCCTCCCCGACAGGCGAAGCGGGCCGTGGTGAGTAGGCTTTCCAGGTGGCAGCAGTGCACTTCAGTGCTGTCCCGTTTCTGAGGAATTGCACTGAGTACTGTGAGCAAGAATTGACTGGCCCAGACTCAGGCTGGGCATCAGCGGGGATGTCCCAGGAGAAGTGGTGTCTCTGAAGAAGGGCCTGACAAGTTTCCAAAGAAAGGGGGAAACTTGACTCAGGGCCAGTGAGGTGTTTGATTTTTATGACAGAAAAGAATTTCAGCACACACCGGTCAGGGGCATTGACAGAGGTTTATTTAGGAAGGTGGATATACATACACATTCAGGGAGAATAGGGGCAAGCTCAAGAGAGAGAGATCTTTGAGAGTAAAGCAAGAAATACACATGCAGGAGAGAATGAGGCCATCTGGAGAGCGAGAGGTGCAACTTTGGGGTTCCCCATTCTTCTTTTAAAGGAGTGATCAGTATGAAATAGTGATATATTAATTTAGTGATCTCAAGATGGCTTCTGGTTGTCCAGTCAAACTTAGGATCTTTAGACTGAGGTCTTCAGTATCTCATATCCATCAGTAGCTGGAAAGTCCCCTAAATTATAGGTTTCTTAAAAATGTGATTTTTTTCTCATAATCTAATTATTAGGGATTAATTATCAGCCAATAGGTTGAGGTAGAGATAGGCCTGGAAAAGTATATGAAACTTCTGAATTAAAATCATACTTACTTCTTCTTTATGTCTCTTTTCTACCTATTTTTTATTCCTTCCATTCTGCCTTAGGGAGCCCAAAAACTAATGCCCTCTGAGAACCAGGAGGGCTCTCTCCCTCAACTCCAGGCCTCACTATATGTCATCTCTGACTGGGCTCCAAAACTGTCAGGGTGTTTCCCCCTCATAGGGTTGTTGTGGCTGCTGATGATGTGCAGCGACTGACCCTAAAGTGAGGATCGTTTCCTCCACCCCAGTGAGTCCAGCCACAGTGCACTGACTGATTGAATAGTTGTGCCTTCTATTTCCTTCCTTGGTGTTCTGTTCTGTAAGTGACACAGGATATTTGTAAAAGTTTCTGGCCCTGGAGCTCAAGTCTATTTTCCCTATGTTGCACAGCCACTGGAAAAAGCCTTGTGGGTAGTGAGCACTCATCAGCAAGCTCTGGGGATCAAGCAGAGCAGAGGCTGGAGCTAGTGCTGCTGAGAACTCACTGTGCACAGACATCCTGTCTGATTGGAAAGAGAAAGAGGGAGGGAGCAGGAATTTCCTGTTAGGTGTCCAGCTCTATCCCTGCGAGTACAAAGCACAAATAATTGTGGTCTGAGGCCACATTCTATCAACTATGGTTCTCTTAGTGCCCAGGGTTTTTCCTCACCAAAACCTGGATCCCAGTTAACAGTTGTGTATTTTCTTTTGTAACAGGTGGTTTCTCCCAAAGAAGAGAGCAAAACAGCAGGTAATTTCTTATTTTAATATTTTTTAGTTTTGTGTGTCTCTATGCACAACTTTAGTTTTATGTAAAGCCTTAGCATCATTTCCTTTCAGGTATAGATTAGTCTTAAAACCTATCCTTAGTTCTCTTCAGAAATTTTCCATCTGCCAGAAAAAGCACATTTCTTGTCTGCTTATCAACGGACTATAATTTTTAGATTATATCTTGACAAAGGGATCCATACTGGAAACATTATTGGCAGTAAAGATGTACTAACGTGTAAAAATACAGTTGTGGGTGAAGGAGGACGGGTTGCAGCAATGCAGACAGGAGTGCAGGGACACAGGGAGCGCCTGTCCTCAAGGTGGCAGCAGCAGCAAGGGCCAAAGAAAAGGACAGGAGGTGCTGGGCTGTATGTTCCTGAAGAGCCACACACTGAGCTCTGCTGCTGGGACAAGCGAGCCCTCTTTGGAAAACACTTTGGGTTTTTTGTTCACATGCGTAGGGCCCACAGTTGCTTAATTTGCTTCTATATGGGAAATGAACAGAATGAGCAAAATCTGAAAGACTCCAAACAGAAAATTAGACATGTTTGTCTCTGTGCCAGTCCATCCCTTCACACTGTTCTTTCTAAAGGCACAGACATATATACTCGTTCCTTTGTTGCTTAGTTGTTGATTCAAGTGGATTATTCATAAAACTTGTAAATCTGCAGCTTTTAATAAAATTCTGTTTTTCTCGGCATCTTTAAGAGAATGAGTTCAGTAAGGTGAAGGTATTTTTTAGCACCAAATTGACAGGCCTTAAGTGTAAGATGCAAGAGTGGGTTGTGATCTACGCTGCACGGAGCATGCAGTTGAGATGAGCTGACACATCATTCTGTAGAGAGGCAGGAAGGGCCTGTGTGACCTTGGAGAAAGACCTGCCTTTGAGCCTATGGCGGGAGCATCAGGCAGAAGGGGGCAGGCGTGCAGAGGAGCTGAGAGTCAGAGTCTTGCTCTGATGGCAAGGTGGGGGAACATCTGTTGATAAGATGGAAAATGAGGCTTCTCAGGCTTACAGCATGTCATAGACCTCAGCTGAGGAGCACAGGGTTTGCAAATGCAATGGAGCTGATGGAGGTTTTTGAGCAGGGGAACAGTAGAGTCACATTCATTGGAGATCAGGTCCTGCCAACAGAGTCACATTCATTGGAGATCAGGTCCTGCCAACAGTGAAGTAGGGCAAATCATGGGAAATGAGGGGAGAAGCTTGTAGGCACCAAGTGGGACTTTGTGGGGACACACAGTGGTGGCAATGGGATCAGAAAGGCCAGGATGTGGTGTTATTTAAGAGCTCTACCATGCCGTGCGCTACAGGCCACCAGCAGGCAAGGGCTAGAGATGCTGCTGACTTGGGTTGCCACACCCCACGGTGCACACACCTCAGCTCTCCACAGGTTCACAAGAAAAGAGAATGTAAAAAAATCTTGTGAATTGAATGGAGTTTTGTATTGATTACACATTGAAATTTGATTTTTGATATATCAAGTTAATTAAAATTAATTTCAACTTCTTTTAGTTTTTCACGTGACTGTTAGAAAGTTAAAAATTATAGGTGTATGAGAGTGTATCACTCTCATACTGCTGTCAGGAGGCTCTAATCAAGACTAGTTTGGGGAAGCAAGTGAGACAGAGTGCAACCATTTCCCAGCAGCAGAGGGAAAGGTCAAGTGTGAATTGGAGGCTCAGGGTTAAAATGCGGTGTTGGAGGAGAGAGGCTGGAAATGTAGATTTACTATAGAGAGCAGGGCTTAGTCAACAAAGAAGAGGGTAAAGAACAAAGAGGTCCCTGAACCTTGAATTAATAACTCATGTTTAAGGCAAAGGAGAGAAAGTAGTCAGCGATGCCAGGGGAGGAGATGGTGATCAGGGTGGTGTCCAAGATAGAATCAGGCAAGTCCAGAGTTTCAGGACAAAAGCTGCAACAGGAAAGTAAGGTGGAGTTTGTCTTCCATTGCATTGCGTGCTTCCTGCCTTTCTTAAACAGAAGAGTGAGGACTTCCTATAGCCTGTCCTAACGGCCCAGCGTTGTCATTGTGGAGGCTGGCAACGTGGCGCCAAAGTATGGCCCATTTCCTCCACCTGGTGCACGCCAGCCACTGGTGCTTTAGGGCACTGTGAATCCTGTCTGCGACTGTGCCACTGTCTCTGGGTAATGCACTGCTTGCTGCCAACTGGAAATTAGTGTTTGAGAGTGAGAAAATAAACTTCAATGTCTGAATACAAATGAAAAGGTGGTGAATTCTCTAGTAAGCACCAGGGGACCTACTGGCATGGCACTGCTGCTCAGGGCCTTTCTTTGGTTTCTCTGAGATGTGCTATGCTGTTTCTTTGTATTATGAAAGGACTTGTTCTGAGTGGACATTGAGGATACATAGTTAGATATGGAGAACCAGCTAACTGGAGGAGGTCGGCAGGCCTTGTTTTGGGGTGGGAGAGGGTAGTACCTGAATCATTTTGCTCTTGGAGCAGAATTCATGAGCTCACAGCAGTTAGGCTACAGACTTCCCCTGGCTCCCTTAAAGCAATAGTCATATCTGTCCATTTTCTCCCAAAGAAATCTCTGATAATACATTTTTCTTTTTCTCCTTATGGCATGTTTATTTACAGCAATTGGTATGAATGGCCTTTTAATTCACTTTTTCTTTGTAGAACCACCACCACCTAAAATCCCGAAAATAGAGACCACTCACCCACCGTTGCCTCCGGCCCACCCACCGCCAGGTGAGTGCCTGCCGAGGCTGCTTAGCTGGCATCCTTGCAGCTCCTGTGGGACAGCGGAACAGTGTGGGGGTGCTAGGGAAGCCTGTAGAAGGGCAGCTTGCAGAGACAGCCACAAGCAAGGAGCTTTCAAAAACCATTTGCATCACAAACCAGATATTCTGCAGTTATAGACCTCAGTATATCTGCTTCCCTCTGATCTCATCCAGAAATGGCTGAACTACACAGATAAATGGATTTTAGGAAAATAAAATCCTGCTAACAGTGAATATTGATTCAGAGCCAGGCAGGACTGCTATGGGTGTGAGACTCCAGCCTATCTTATCTGCTTCCTTGGCAAGATGTCTTCCTAGTGCAATTAGAAGAGTAAGCCGTAGGCAGAATCACATGGAGAGGAAATGGAAGGGCTTCAGGTTCTCAGAGGCACACTGAGCTGGAAGGCTTCTCAGCACTAGAAATAGCTTTCTTTACCTGTACACCATCTCAGAAGCTGAAACATTGAACCAGAGCAGGCAGGGCTGGCGTGTTTTCTGAAGGGTGTAGATAGTCTGGAGACCTCCCTGGCCTCTTGTAAGTCTGCTGTGCTAACTGGAGTTGTTGGTCAGAGCATATGAAGACGCTGCTCAAGTTGATGCATGCCTGCACAGACATGCAGCTCATTAGCTAACTTTCTGTCATATCCACTCATGGTAACTTTATATGCTTTGAGGAAAAGGAAGCATCATTTTCTACTTGGAGCCAAATCCCACAATCTCCAATTTAATACGAACCTTGCTTTAAAAGACACCTGCAAAGGATTGCACTTTCAAGGCCAGGCTTATCAACTTAGCAAGACCCTGTGTCAGAATTTAAAAATAAAAAGAGCTAGGGACTTAGCTCAGGGTAGAGCGTCCTGGGTTCCATCCCCAGTACAGGGCAGGTGGGGAGAGATGCTGCAGTTGCTCATTTAGTGCTTGTAGTGTAGTTGTCGACTCAGCAATTGTAGTTCCCCAATCCAGTACTAGGGGCTGAGCCACCGCTAGGGAGGGATGTGGGATGTGGCACAGTTGGGAAACGGGGCAGTTGGTGAGGTGTCCCTGCCTATGTTCAAGGCCCTGCAGGGGCACTGCCCAGCACAGGCAGCTCTACCATAGACGACTGCAGGTGGACAGGCCTAGCTCTCAGATAGGACCTGGGAGCCAGATGGGCCACTAGGAGGACTGGTAGGAGTAAGCAGAACCTGGCAGCCACAGCAGGACCTCCCAAAGGGGAAAGTGGCTACAAAGGAAGCCCAGATCACAGGGGCTCCTTAGGCAAGGCCCATTCATAGCTGTCTGGTGCGGAAGGTCAGGAGGCAGAGTCGGGGCACTAGGGGATGAAGAAGGCAGAGTCAGAGCTCCTGTGCAGCACAAGACCATGACAGGAGAGAGGTTGAGCTCAAAGTGAGGTTTAGTGGCAATTTGGGGCCTTGTGTAGCAGCCAGGTGCTAGCAGGGAGGGTGCAGAAAGGGAGCAGTGCCATGGACAGGCCTCTGTAGAGCAGTATCACAAAAGGCAAGTTTGGGTGCTCTGGTGACAGGAGAGGCTGCTGAGCTGAGTGTCGCAGGCTGGAAGGTAAAGGGGATGTGTGTGGACCCAGAAGGCCCATGGAGTGACACAGGAGGAATTGGTAATTGGTCTGCTCAGCTTCTGAGACCAAGGGTCAAGGGCCCCTCACTTGGGGGCCTGTCCTACCTCCCTTGGTGAGGGGTGCCAATTAGCACAGGCAGCTCCATTGGTGTGTCTATTGCCAGCCTGCAGTTCTGCTCAGCTTCATTGTGGTGAGGATAGGGAATGGCAGATGCCACAGTTTCTGTGTTGATGGAGAGTAGTAGTCTGGTGCCTGGGCAGGTCTCTTCTGTGCTTAGTGTCCAAGTCTGCACAATCAGGATGCCATGATGTGCTTTGCCCAGCCCAAAAGAGCACAGGCCAGTGCCTAGGGAGCTGGAAACTGCCTGCACAGTTCACATTTTCTATACCCAGAAGCTTTTTTCTGTGACTTGTGCTCTTTTCGGGCTACCTCAGGGAAAGACATACATTCTAAGTCTTGAGCTACCTGTGGTATGGGATATTCTGATGTCATTTTCCAAGGGTCTGACCGGGACTTGGGATCCCAGGCCAAACCTACTAGAGGAGGCTTTGGGAAAGGAGTGAGGGCCAAGGGATTTGGAACACTGCAGGGGAGGCCCATGGCCTGGTCTGAGCCCAGGAACTTTTCAGGAATGCTTGACAATAGGTGCTGCCTGCCACTTGCATGTGGACACACTGATCCTTCAAGGAACAGCGTAAGCCCGGCCTGGCTTCTTTAGTAACAGAACCAGAACCAGCACCTCATTCATTTGACCAGCTCGCAGACTCTTGGCAAAACGCAGGTGCTGCAGGTGGTGCTGCAGCGGGGCCCTGGCTCCCTGGGGGCCTCAGGGACTTGAGAAGCAAGAAGCTGAAGGAGCTCGCACTGGTTTGTGCTAGAGGCGCTGAACGGAGCCCCTGTAGCTGTACACCCAGCACTGAGGAGAGGCCCAGGGTCATTGGGAGATGGTTATGGAGGGCCTAGGAGACAGGTCAGGGCAAGAACTGCTGGCCTTAGGACATTGGTCTGCACATAAGACTACAAATGTGTCAGTTGCTCCTGGCACCTTTGTGAAGGTGGCCCTCAGCAACAGCAGTGGCCCTCACAGCCTGCAGTGGGCTGAGAGCTCCTGGCTCAGGGCTCTCACTCAAGGAGTCATGCCTGTGGTTTTGTACCTGGCGGCTCTGGAAACCTAGTCAAGTCACAGGTGAGGCACTGATTTGTCTCTCTTCTACAGACCGGAAGCCTCCCCTCGCTGCTGCTCTAGGCGAGGCCGAGCCGCCTGGCCCGGTGGATGCCAGTGACCTCCCCAAAGTCCAGATTCCTCCTCCGGCCCACCCGGCCCCTGTGCACCAGCCACCACCTCTACCACACCGGCCCCCACCCCCGCCCCCCTCCAGCTACATGACGGGAATGTCCACCACCAGCTCCTACATGTCTGGAGAGGGTTACCAGAGCCTGCAGTCCATGATGAAGACCGAAGGCCCCTCCTATGGCGCCCTGCCCCCAGCCTATGGCCCGCCAGCTCACCTTCCCTACCACCCCCATGTCTATCCCCCCAACCCACCCCCACCACCTGTGCCTCCTCCCCCAGCCTCCTTCCCCCCACCTGCCATTCCACCCCCTACTCCTGGTTACCCACCACCTCCACCTACCTACAACCCCAACTTTCCACCCCCACCCCCTCGCCTGCCCCCCACCCATGCAGTCCCACCTCACCCTCCTCCAGGCTTGGGCCTGCCTCCGGCTAGCTACCCACCTCCTGCAGTGCCCCCTGGAGGACAGCCACCTGTGCCCCCGCCCATCCCCCCACCTGGCATGCCTCCTGTTGGGGGACTGGGGAGGGCGGCCTGGATGAGATAACCTGACGCCTTTTTTTTTCCTTGTTTTTTTTTTTTTAAAACAAAAGTTTTTCTAATTAACTTGAAGAGTAGTTTAAGTGTAAGCAGCGGGGACCTTGTATAATGCCAGACAGTTGCAGTAAGGAAGGGAGGGGCCAGATCCCTGGGATGAAATTGGGGTGGTCCTCACACCTGGAGGTCGGGGACAGCCAGCTTCAGTGTGACCTAGGCAGCTCCTCTTGCAGTCTGACTGTACAGTTTCAGCTAATGTCATCTGAGAGTCCTGCACTGGGTTACTTTATACTAGTGAAAATGTTAACCAGCCATATTGGCTCAATAAATAGCTTCAGTAAGGAGTGACTTTCCTTCTAGAAATCAGTGCCTATTTTTCCTGGGAACTCAGTTTTAATAGTCCAGTTCCATCTGAGGTCAAGCTGTTGTCATTATTGTCATTCAGTGGTGTTCTCCCCATGAGACCCAATAGGTCAGATGAACCACTTTTTTGATTTAGAGGTATTTGCAGCCTTTGTATTAAACTATTGTGAAGGGGTGGCCTTGTTGGATGGCTTATTTCTTTTTCCTCCTGGGAGAAGGGGAGAAATGTACTTGGAAAGTAATGTATGTTTACATCTATTTGCAAATTCCTGTACATAGAGATATATTTTTTAAGTGTGAATGTAACAACATACTGTGAATGCCATCCTGGTTACAAACAAGTCTCCTTCAGTCAGTTATCCAAATAAAATCAGTTCTGGAACTTGCCCCTTGTTTGTTTAACAGGGCAGGAGGTGGGATTGGGGGTTGTGGAGTCCATCACAGAAGACCATCTCCCTGATGTCTCTGGGGACACTAAGGTGTGGCTCTGCATGTGATTTTAACCACCCTGGTTAAATTCCAGACCAGTTTTGAGCTTTACAGCATCCATGCACAGAACATGGGCTCCTGAGACCAGGCTTGGATGGGAAATCCTTTCCACTCCTGACCTGTGGGTAGCAATTAGTGGCCTCCACCATCCACTTGAGGGGCCAAATGTATGGGGCAAGGGTAGAGTGCCAGTTGATCCCCATCTGAATTGCTTGCTGGGCCATGGCTCCAGGCCACCCCTCAGTCCTCAACAGAGATGAGCAGGGAGCACCAACCAGAAGGCTTGCAAAGAGGCCTTTATTTATCTAGCTCAAAGTATACACGGTCACAATCTTATTTGTTACTCCTTTTACTAAAATAGTTCAAATCAATGTTTTTACCACACTATCAAAAAGTTCTATTCTCTCCACAAATCAAAGTGGTTCAATAGAAGGTAGAAACAGGCGGGAATCCACAGGCTCGGCTCTGTGGGGGTGGCTGCAGGTCCACCTTGGTCACCTTCTACAGAAAATAGCATAGCTGCCGGCCCAGGACAGGAACCAGATGTCCCAGCCTGTTTCCAAAAAGCAGCATGAGTACTTTCCCCACAGTATGAAAAATAGACACCTCTAGCACTCTGCAGCCATGCATTTAGTTTGTTTCTTTAAAAAAAAAAAAAAAAAAAAATCAGTAGTATGTTTTTTTTTTCCTCTCAAGTTTCAAGAAAAAACAAATGAAAGGTCACTTTTTCCTCTTTAAACACTGGTGTGTAGCTAATAACTTTTGGATAAAAATGTGCCACCCTAAGAAAATGTGCTCAGCAGATTCTGACTCCAGCATAGGTGAGGCCACCTGGGCTGGGACCAGAAGGGTGACCTGTCACAGTGGAACTGAAGCCAGTGTTGAGTCTCCTTGGGCTTCAGGATTGAGAATTAGCATGTGAAACGGAAAGGGGCCTCTATGAAAGGCCATCCCCTTGGCCCCTGCCCAGGAGTTTCAGAGCTAAGGCTCCAGAAGGGAGGGCCACCCGGTGTCACCCTGAGCTATGGCCCACAGGCTCCCCACTGTGAGAGGCCCGGTGGGGCCCACCCCAGCTCACTCATGGCTCTGCCACTGCCAAGGGCACCTGGGCTCCTGCTGCTGCTGGCTTTTACTAACTGTTATGTTGAAGACATGACTGTCACAGTCCCGTCCCAGAAAGCTGTCCACTGCTGTGTGGACTCAGGGGCCTCTGGCAGGCAGGAGGTGCCCCCGCAGACCCCTGGTGCCTCCACAGCACCAGGGATGGGGTCACTTCCCTCAGGACACAGGTGGCTTCCAGGCTGTTCCCTGGGTAGATCTGCAGATACCAGGAGCCCTTATTGCTTATTTCAGTGGTGGCCAAGCCACCCTGATCCAAACGACACGTGGGCTCCCGGACTGGGTTCCTACACAGCATGGACCCACACCCCTCAGGACACCCCAAAGGGACATGTGTGTCACCAGCCCAGCTTCCCGCTTAGGCAGGCGTGATGCAGTACCATGACCAGTAGATGGGGGCAGACCCCTGAGGACAGGGAGCTCATCACCTGACCAGGTAGCAGCTCCTGGGAAGAGCTTTCTGGTAACGCCCACAGCAAGAGCAGCAGGCCCAGCCCTGAAGCCCCTGGCTGGCACCCCCAGGGCACGCCCAGGGCTGCGGGCCTTTCCCCTGAGTGCAGAACACAAGGGCACAGATGGCAAACGCCAAGGGAACCACTCCCTGTAGAGGGTCCCCAGCTGGGGAAAGCAGCAGGGAAGCCATCTGCCCTCCCCTGCCCTGGTCCCCATCCTTGGCTCGGCCTGAATGAGACCGGCCTGATAGGAAGACGCTCCTTGGGCCCTTCAAGTACCTGCTGCACGGAGCTCAAGTACCATCGGAGGAGGGGAGACACGGCTTTCAGTGGGAAGTGAAGAGAGGTGAGTCAGGGTTGGGGCTGGCCACTTACGTGCATGCGTGGATGTCATCAAAATGGCCTGCCCTCTTAGAGATTTTAGGATCTCCCCTGTAGCCAGGGCACTATGTGTAGTAGCACAATATCACCTCCCCTCCTGGGCCTCATTTTCCTCTCACAAACTAAAAAATATTTCCTATCACACTTCATGGTTTATACGGGATCATTTACATTGAAGGTCTCTTGCTGTAAGGAGGGTGGCTTCCATTTTGTAGCTTAGAACACTGAGGCTTGGAGAGAGGAGGTGACCTGCCATGAGACAGCAAGGCAGCAACATGAGCTTGGCCTTGGCTTGTGAGCTGTGAGGACTGAGACCATCTACAGCAGGGGCCCAGAGAAGCTGTGTGATTTCATGAAGGTCACACAGTAAATTAAAGCCAGAACCAAGTCAGGGTCCTTCCTTCCAAAAGAGAACCGAATGCTCATCATGGGAAGCCCCTGTAGCTGTGTCCACAGTGACCCAGGTATAGCCAGCCCTGGAGGCAGCCACCCCACAGCTGACCAGGGACTCCGCATGACCCAGTTCTACCCATCCCTAGATGCAGCTCAGCCCAGAAGCCCTCCAGGACCTTCCCTGTTCCTGTGAGCCCCAGGTAGGATGCTGGGCAGCAGGGACCCTAAAAGATGGGGCTAACCCTGGCACGGGGTACAGAGACCACAGAGAATGTATGTTTGGGGGTGTCAGGGAGGGGAAACACTAAAAACAAGCAGCAACTGGCATCAGGGTGGCTGGCACCAACCCCCAACAGCAGGGACTCCAAGCTCCCAGGGCCAAGGTGAGAGGAAGGGCCTGGGAGCCCCGAGCAGCTCCAGCAGCCAGACATGGTGAGTTTCCTTGTCCATGACACAGAGGACCCAGTGCTGGGTGAGCTGGGGTCCCGGCCATGGCAGGGCAGGAAATGGTGCCACTGTGTCAGGACTCAGGTGATGGCAGCCTCTGCCCAGTACAGGGGCACCAGGAGGATGGAAAGCTTGATGAGCGGCCCCCACATCGAGGGCAGGACTCGGAAGCCTGGACAGTCCCTGAGCCTGGCATCCCAGCAGGGGCCTTCAGCCTCTTGCAAATGGAGCCCGAGGCCAGAGAGGGAGCCAGGTCACTCTGGCCACCAGGGAGCAGTCTCGGCTTCGCGGCTTCGCAGTTTGCTGGTGCGTGAGGCGGGAGCGGAAGCCTGGCCGACAGTATCACGGCACGCAGCCAGGGTGGTCCGTGTCCTATGTACAACTCACCAGAGAAAGACAGTGGCTTGCGAGAGTCCTGCCCTCGTCTAGGGCCTGGGAGCCCTGGGAGGGGCCAGTCCACATCCGTGAAGAATGGCCCTACAAAGGACCCTTGAACTGGTTTCCAGACAGGTGCTGCCGGATGGAGGGCTTGGAGCTGGCAGCGTCTCCCAGCTTCCTCCAGACCACCTGCAGAGAGGGGCAAGACATGAGTGGAGGGCCCACCTGAGCCCACCGCTGGCCTGCGCATGCCTCCTGCCTTATCCCTGCAAATCGCCCATGTCCTCAGAGCCCTGGGACCAGGAAGAGAGACTGAGGCCGCAAGAGGCCTGGAGGTGCTGAGGCCTGGTCCTGCCCCACCACACTCATGGCTGCCCTGGAGCAGGTTTGGCCTCGTGGCTGTTCTGTAGGGCCCGTGGACCTAGGACAGCCCTTCCCCGCAGCTCTTGCAAAGGTTCAACAAGTCAACTGGTGGTCAGAGGGGCCAAGGACGAGGCTCTCCCAGGCAGACAGGGCAGCCCAGGCCTGCAGGTCTGCGCCTTCAGCTTTGAGAACTAAGCGCAAGGCCAGCCGCTGCCAGGGGGCACAGGTGAGCTGGGAGGCCAGGGTCAGACACCCAGGGCCCAAGGGCTCCAGGGCTGGATGAACCAGAGCAGTGCTGGGGTGGGGAACTCCCAGCCCCAGGTGTGGCACTCCTGGGGAAGGAGAGACCTAGCCATGGTCAGGGGCCCTCTGGCAGGAGGAGTAGAGGGGGTGACAACAGGCCAGGGAGTCCAGAGCCTCCAACATTCCGGAGCTGCCCAGGGCAGCAGCTGAGTGTGTGCAAAACAGCCCTACACAGGGAGGGGTGTGACCCGCCAGGTGAACCTCATTGTGCCCCGCCCCCACGCCAGACCCCCACCACAGCCCGGGGAGCGCCCTACGTTGCACATCTCCCGGACGATGGCTTTCTCCTCCTCGCTCAGGTCCTCCTCGCAGCTGTGCTGGAGCTGCCGGTCCAGGTTCTCATGCACCTCCAGGACCTGAAGGATGAAGATCAGTCCCAGAGTGTGGGGCAGAGGCCAGCAGTAAGCCTCCAGCAAGTCACCTGACCCCTGCAGCCTTGGCTTCCCTGGCTACACGGAGAAGCTGAGGTCCCGAGCTGCTGGGGGGCAGGGTGTGGATGTCTCTTCACCCTGCGACACCACGGTCTCCATACAAGGGAAGCAGCATCTCTGACTCAGGGATGGGTCACCCAGGACAAGGGTGGCCAGGTGGCAGGGACAAACTTCAGACAGGTGGACTCACTCATATAACAGCACAGGGCAGCCCACACCCCACACGAGGCTCCTGGCACACGCACAGGGGAAGGAAGGAGGGGCGTGGGGCAGGCGATGTGCTCAGGTGTGGGTGCCCTTGGAGACATGAGGAAGACCTGCCCCCGCACCTGGAGGCCGAGGTTCACTGAAGAAACCCACTCCTGCCCCAGACCTCTGGCCCTAGGGCAATGCCTGTCCTCCCCCACCAGGCCTCTGTTTCCCCAGCTGCAGTAGCTCAGGAAGGGCTGACAGGTGACACTAGTCCCCACTCCCCACCTGTGAGTCCTTCACTAGACAGCCACAGCCCCAGCCACCGGCTAAGAGGCGAAATCCCCCACCCTGCTGCTCAGATGCCCTGCGCACAGGCAGCACAGGTGGCCTCCAAGGCCCCAGGGTGCACTGGAATCTCAGGCTTGGGCAGTGGGGCCC